ACACACACACGGACTATGTTACATCGTGTTCGAGGATGGGACATTATGGTACTGACACTGATGGAATCCGGACGGACATAGATCTCAATGTTGAGTGTTGCTTAGTTTGCTGAATACAGTTGTACTATTGGAGGGGCGTGTGCCTGTACGATTTTTTTGATTATAAATCCTCAAAACCCAGGACTGGACTGGGGAAGAGTGCTGTATTTGAACGAACGACATAAGTATAGACAAGTCTGGTTGACCGGAACAAGGCGTCTCGTTTGAAACAGAGTAATCATAAATTCATGAATCACTCAGGATCAGAGGTCAAATGGTCCAGCGGTATGTTCGCGTCTTCCATAGGTACAATAATGGCACCCGTAATCCACTCCAGTGTATATCTTGTTCGTGTGCTCACCAATGTGAACAGCCCCCCCCCTCCCGGTCACATTTTGAGTGATAGTCAAGTCAAGTGAAGAAACCCCGTTTATTTCGCCCTGTGGGATGTGCATATTCAGCAACCACATAATCACTCTTCTGCAGTGTAGCAAAAGGGCAAAGTGAAAACAAATAGTATGTAATACGCACACAAATTCAGCAAATCGGAAACTGACGGTTTTTAATGACAAGGTTGACGTTAGTAAGAAACCATGCAAGGTGCAGTACTAAAGCGGACATGTGTGTTGTGGTATGTGCTGCTGTATGCTTACATTTGGAGTGTGTGTGTATGTGTGTGTGTGTTAGATGCGAAAATGCATTTGCTACGATGAGGGGGGGGGCATGGAGAATGCGATGATAGAAAGCTTATGACAAACCTTAAGGTGGTATGAAATTATAAACTGCACAATATGATCGCGATGTATACCGCTGTATCGATGAATGTACCCATGAGTTTGAAGTCGGACCTGATATAGTGTAAAAGGTGAGTGACTATGTAAAATGTGACGGTGACAAGGGGAGAGCAAAAAGATTTGCGGAAACTGGTGACTCTCGATGTATTTACCGGAACAGCATCTGGAAACTTGTTCTTCATCGATAATGACATGCTGGCAAATGTTCATTATATCACGGTATTCGTCACCGTTCAGCAAAGAAATTAAGACATCTTAGCCCTCAACAAGAATTATACTAAGGTTGTAATGTGAAAACCGATCGGTGAACAGTGTGAAATGTTATGCAGAAGTTTGGAGTACATGGAGCAATTTGGAAGCATCACGCCATACACAATATGATCCGCATATTTCGTAAACAAATGGTCATCAAAAGCAGGCAGACAAGATAGTATCCTGAAGAATTCCTTGATTCAGGTGTAGAAGTGAAGGGTTTTAATTCTTATATTTAGCACACTGTCGGTGGCTTATGAAATAGTTGCGTAATGGATTGGGTACTTGCAACGGAATGTCCTATTCAAAGAGAGAGGGGGAGGAAGTGTGTGTGTGTGTGTCCCATCAACACAGTTGAAGGTGTCACTATAGTGAAAACAAACACAGCTGAACAGCTTTGCATTTTCTATCCAAGGAAGCGGAAACATGATGAATTAGGGATGCCAGCTCATCAAAAGTTCACCTAGAGATCCGACAGGCAAATTGAGCTGATTCAGATAGATGCTTGCAGCTAGGAAAACGTGTAATAAAATCTTTTCCAGGACTCTCAAACCAACGGACGCACGCAATCGGGCGAAAATTAGACGTGCCTTTTCTTGAATGCAATGATGATTTAGGCGCAGATTGAGCAGGTCGGTGAAAACAGAAGAGAAAGGGAGAAAGAGGCGCGCCACATTCTTTGAGCATCACTGGCGGCAGTTCATCAGGACCGTTTGCTTTGTTTAACAGCAGACTGATCAAAAAATTTGGAAACTTCTGTTTGGTCTGTAATTAGATTAGCGATTTTAAGGAGAGGCACGCCTGCTGTGCGTGGAACAGAGGTGTCGGTTACAGCATTACTGAATTGGCGATTCAGATTGTCCACCTTACCGCCTGATTCGATTGGAACAAATTACAGCAACAATAAACAAAGATCATCTGGGAGATTGTAAAGATGAATCCTGATCAGGTATTGCAATTAAATGTTTTTCTTTTCAATTCCTGTTGTTGAACATTTTTTTATTCCCTAATTTTTGTCGCCCGTCTCACATTCCTCAGTCACACCTAATTTCCTCGACTGTTAGGTATGCAACTTCGAGTATGAACCGAAAGGAGGAGGGATTTCCCCTTCAGTGAATCTCGGCCCAATTAATTTGACCATCACTTTCTAAGCTTCGCACGAAATGCGTTTAAAGATCGCCAGCCAAATCCGCGTTCGTTCGTTCGCTCGGATCGGTTTGGTGATTAATTAGTACCGTCCTGGCTTGTTGGTATTGTATAAGAGCGATCACCACCTCCAACCCCGTCGCGATTCGCGGTGGACTGATGATGAGGATGATGCTCTGTTGCCGTTTTTTCGATGCTCTCGACGACTGTGGTCTCGCTTGGCTTGACACAGTTTGGCCTGAATTTCTTTTCCCCGGTTTTATCGCTCTCCCCCGTTGTGGTTTTTCACGGTATTCCCCCGAGATAGAACTCAACCTCGAACAAGTGCACAGTTGCGCGTGATCGTGTGTGTGTGTGTGTGTGTGTATAGCTTGACTACGCTGTGCCCCTTTAGTTTCATTACGCTAAATATTACTGCGTTCGCCCATTCTTGCTGCCTCCGCATACTACTTCTAACCTGATCCAGTAAATTCTCGGATAATGACCTACTTTCTTGATTTATCGAATAAGTTTTGTCCTGCGCGTCTTTCTTTTTTATCAGAAGCAGAGTATGTCACACTGGGTCGAATGAATAAGCCACGTGCTTTGGAAGTGGACAATTGGTATCTTATTTCATCGGAGCTAAGAGATGCATGTACCTATTAGCTGAACATGCAGTACGAATACTACTAATTCAAAGCGAGAGGAGAGCTGAAAAAAGATTGTTTTTGTCAATTTGAAGTTTCTCCTGAATTCCTCTGCATTTCTGACTAGTTCTATCTGTCTAACCAGTTCGCAGTTTCGCATTGTATTTCATGAGTAATTTTGCTAGTAGCTCTACTCGGTATTGATCGAGTTTGCCTGATCTTCGTCGCCAGGTCCCTATACCGTCTGCATAAACGGGCGAATTACGGATTGCAAATCCATTGTTCGTTTTCGAACCGGTCTCTGTATGTCGTAATGAGGACAATGTAGGATTTGATCGGGATCTGCTGTTACTTTTGTTATTGTTAAACGTCGAATTGACCGTGAGAGCAGAACAATGTCGGTACATTGCTACGAAAAGTATCAAGCAACATGGTCGTATGCCATTGGCAATTTCAGTTTTTCCAATCATTAACCATCGATTTTCGCAGGCCGATTTTGGTTGTTTTCTTTTGATGCCCTATTTGGATAAAAGAGCAGAATGAAGATTGGAATGTTGTAAGCAAATTCAAGCGGAAGATAGAGAATTCATATAGAGTGGTGTTGGGAGAATAATGATTGGATGCACAAGCGCTACTGGTTGCGACACCCAGCCATATCACTCAGTATATCTAACCATCGGTGACCGTCATGTCGGGGTCCCCAGCCAGGGAGTAATTTAGTGATGGTATTCGCTCGATTTTTTTCATGCACATCCCTCGTACTCATAACAGTTCATGCGTTTCGTGCGTAACCGTTTGCGATACTTAATACGTCTAATACCTAGTTGTCTTATTTTTTTCTGTGAATTATCCTCGTCTACAGCCTTGCGGTTGGAAACGAATATGGGATCGCCATTTTGGATTATCTCAATCGTGTCTGCTTACTGTCAACTGCCATTTCCGATCTGTGTGGTAAGTGATTGCTCTCAGTCCATTTTGTCGCCTCTGATATCGTTCAAAGCCCCGTCCACACAAATTGCTTCTTTTTTCCACACCCAACGTTAACTGTCTTTTTTCGTGATTGCATGCTTTTATTGATCTGGACAGGTCCAATGAACCAATCTTACGCAGATGTGACACTTGATATGAACAAAAAACAACAACAGCTAAAAACGTTCTGTGATTTTTTGAAGCCAGTTGGGAATACAATGATAGTGTGCTCAAGTGAATAACGGAACCATTCGCAGCTATGGATAAGTGTTAATCAATCGATTGTTCCGCTTGAATATTGTAGCTCCAGTGACGATCCCCCCCCCCATCCCGGTTATGGTTGTCCTCATTGCTTCTTTTACCCGGCTCGGTTAATTTGTCTTCGGATTTTTCGATTTCAGGTCCTTCTGATCTTTTTCCTCGTCCACCGACTACTCGGTCACCCGGCCGCGCACCGAACAGTTCCTCTGGATTGTCAAATGCGGCGACGGTAGATCAGGTTAGCTCTCGTCCCCGTCTAACCA